ACCTTTCAGCTGAGACGCAGTGCGAGGCGGGTGGGGGTCTCTGTTACTGATTCTGAAGGCATCAGTGTGATGAGCCTCTGTATACAGTGTGATCAACAACATGCTAAGCTCTACCCATAATCTTGAAGGTAAGTGTCCACTTATAAAACAATTCCCTGGGGTGCCTGGGTGACTCAGTCGGTTAAGCCTCTGACTCTTGATTGTCCCAGCGCTGGGCTTGTGCTGGGTGTGGAGCCTGCTTGAGATTCTCTCTCTGCCCCTACATGCCCCTTGTGCATGCTTGATCTCTTAAAAAAAAAAAAAAAAAAAAAAAAAAGAATGAAAAAGAAAAAAAAAGAAGACAATTCCCTGTTGCTTCCTGACATCAGACAAAAGATTTAGGTGGGTTGACCATGGGTCCAAAGTTCTTAACATTTCATTTTCTTATTCTAAAATGTGATTCTGGGCATCGGGCTTCCCTACTAACTAAAATTATTTTAATCTGTGTAGCCCACACTTGGTTCCACACAAATAGCGTCAGCATCATCTGAGAACGTGTTAGAAATGCAAATTCTCAGGCCCTACCTAGCAAGACTTAATTATCAGAAACTCTAAGGATGGGCCAGCAGTTGGTTTAAGAAACCCTCCAGGTGATTCAGATACATAGTCAAGTATGGGGACCACTGTAAATGCAGCCAATTATCTTTACTTGGTCAGTCTTTCTGTGCTAACTTTGGGGGCATTGTTAAAAACAGACACTTTTGACATAGCCCCTGCATCCCACATACTACCCCTGTCTATCCGGCCATCCATTGATTCATTTACATAATGTGTTGAAAGTATTTTAAAAAGCCAAGAATAAAAAATTTAAATAAAACCCAATTTTCTGACTACTGACCTGATAGAGATGAAATCCTGAACCTTAGTTTAGTTGTAAGAATATCTTTCCCCTCATAGCCTCATCTTTCTTGTATTCTCTATAATCATGGTAAGGTAAAATTCACTTCCAAAATTTCAAATAAGCATTTGTAATTCCATCAGACACAGCAGCCCTTTGCCCGTTACTACCTCATTTTTATAGGGAATGTATTTGGAATATACAAAAGGCACAGGCGAGGTGCATTGCTTTTAATATCCTTCAGTCACGCTGTCTGGTGGCTGGGGATGAATAGTAAGTCGACAGCCCTCAAGGAGCTGACCATCGGACACATAAAAAAACTACCTTTAGGGCGCCTGGGTGGCTCAGTTGGTTAAGCCATTGCCTTCGGCTCAGGTCATGATCCTGGAGTTCCTGGATAGAGTCCCATTTCGGGCTCCCTGCTCGGGAGTATGTCATCTCTGGAGTTTGTCCAGCTTCATTATGTCTTTGTGGATTTCTCCCTCTGACCCTCCCCCCTCTCATGTGCTCTCTTTCTCTCTCTCTCAAATAAATAAATAAAATCTTAAAAAAACCACAACTACCTTTAATGCGACTTGGTGAGACTATTACCAGTGGGGTGTGTTGGAGAGAAACTCGCTGTCGGGGTGGGGATGTTGGAGAAGCCTTCAAAGGGGGGTCCCTGATATATTAACAAGAGTCAAGAGAAGGGGGCCAAAACAGGTGGGAGTGGGGGCTCAGTCCGAAGGAACAAATGAACAGAGCAGTGAGGTCTGAAAGCAGAAAGCGCGCCTGGGCACAGAGGGTGCGGTGGTAGGGAGAGGCCTCGGGCTGCAGACAACTCAGACTAACGAGCCTGCGAGAATTCGGTGCAAATCGCACGCATCGCCTCTAGTCCTTGCGTTGCGGTTCCGCGGCCTTTCGTAAGTAGAGACGGTGCCTCAGAGAGAAGCTCTCGGGGACTACCGGCATTCATTCATTTCACCAACACTGCCTAGCGCCCCGCGACGCGTCTGGCCCTGCGGGTGACGGACGCAGCCCCCGCCCGGGGACTTCGAAGGGTAACGAGGAGCTGGTGCCCCGCACCCGGTCGCCCGCGTCCCGCTCAAACCTGCGGCCCCCGGCCCCCGGCGGCTCCCGGCCGCGGCTCCACCTGGTTCCCTGCGGGGGCGCGGGTGCGGGCGCTGGGGTCGGACGCTGCTCCGGCCCGGCTGGCGGCGCTGTAGACGCGGACGCCGGCGGTTCCCGAGCCGTTGAGGCCGAACCCGCGGGCGTTGTGGCGGGCGGGGGACCGGAGTTCGGGCGAGGAACGGCAGCAGGGGCCGCAGCGGTGGGGAGCCTGGAGGTGGGGGTACCCAGGCCGGGGAAGCCGCTTAACCTGTGCCATCTGGGCCTCCACTTGCTTTGGGGTTGGACTGCTCTTGACTGGGGGCCTTCTTGATGCCAGGCCTCGTGCCCCACACTTCACACACGGTAATTCACTTAAGTCACCCTATGACCTTGTCAGGTCAGAAGACGCAGGAGGAAACTGGAGGCTAGAAGGTCACTCAGGTCTCCAGCCTTAACTCTCTTCCCCGCGAGACTGGCTCCTCCCACTGAAGGACAGTCTCCTGCCCAGGTCTCTTGGGGGGCTCCCCCCAACGCCCCGCCCTTTAACCTTCTGAAGTTGACTCGGTCCCTGTCACTGTCTCTAACTACGCCCTGAGTCCTGCTTGGCCCAGTTGCAGTTTTACACTTGCTCGATTACTGTATTAATGTCTAACACATTCACTTTACCTATTCCTTCCTTTTTGTAGATTGTCATCCAATAAGGCAGGATTTTTATCTCTCATTAACTGCTATATTATCAGTGCCTAAACAATATGGTGGGTATAGTAAGTGCTCAATAAATCGTAAACCCCATGTAGGCGGCAACTGTGTTTTTGAAAGGACTTTAATCAGAAGTGCCTGGCCCCGACTAGGCATTCAATACATACTTGTTGAATGAGTGACTGAATGTGCTGCTTACTTCATTTTTGCCCTTTCAGTCACTCTCACCTCACTATCCCAATTTTTTGGATAATTATATGAATTCCTTAGGATTCCTACTTCCGAGTTTCCTCCCTTGTATCCATCCACTCATCATCTTGATTCCCCACTCCCACCCGCCATTTCTTCACAGTCACATTTTTGCTCTCACTTTCTCCTTCAACCTTCATTACTTCTTGGAAAGTTCCCTAACCCGCAGGTGGGCTTGGAACATTTTCAAGCAGCATGTCTTCATCGGGGAGAGAATCCAGGCTAAGCCACACTGAATCCCCCAAGAAAAGCTTTCCATGAATCACCCATGATTCTGGTTTTTGTTTTTGTTTTTCCTTGAGGAGAACTGAGGATTCTGCACCACCTCCTAAATTGAGATCATGGTCATTATTCATAATTTGTCCAATAAATATTTATGGGGTACCTATTATGTTCCAGGCACTTGCTAGATGCTGGGACAAGATAGGCAAAATCCAAGGGATGCGTAACACCAAAGAGAATAATCATGGTAAGTGCTGAGAAGTGTCCTGGCTTGGACCCAGTTACTTCTAAGAGAGACTGTGACAAGCTTTAACAAAGGAATACATTGGTAACAGTGGGGGTAGGTATGGGGTTATAATATCTTGCCCATTCACACTTTATTATCTTGTTCGGCTTTACAAATGACCCTATTAGGTGGGAATGTAAGGCAGGAATTATTTTTGCAGAAACTAGAACGAGGGTCTAAGAAAGGTCAATTGACTTGACTAATGCGACACTGCCAGAGGACCACTCTCTGCCTTGCTCTCCTTAATCTGAGAGGCATGAATCAAATGCCTAAGATCGTCTTCACTGGAAGCTTTAGAGCAGGATTCAGTTTCAAACCCTCAGAGTAATGTTTTCAAAAATCCTTGTCAAAGGGAGATACCGGAGACTTTCCTGAATCAGAACTACCTGGGGCATATTGTAAAAATGCGCATTCTTGGTGCCTATCACGGACCTATCCACTTAAACGCCCTGTGGGTCCTGGGACTTTGCATTTTTAAACACCCAAAGTGATTCTTCTGCACATAAAAGTTTAAGAACGCTAGGAGAGTTTGGATGGAAAACCTCATGCTCAATGCAGAGCTAATATTTACTTTTGGGATAGAGTTCGTCATAATCCGAAGATTAGGCCGTATGTCCTTGAGCAGATGGAATACAACAGCTTTCTGGCCAGAACTTTCCTTTTTTAAATGTAAGTATATCTTGGAAATTGGGAGTTCCGCTGAGCAGATGCTCGGCTGCTGGTGACTACGGGCAGTTCAAAGAACTTTTGGCTCTTTTCCCGACACCCTATTAGTCACTGTCGCTTTCCACCGTGGAGCCAGGCATTTGCCCCGCCGACCACGGAGGGGCGCACGCGGCATACGTTGCCACCTTATCCCTTCCTTCCCGGGTCCGCCTTCGCGCCGTTAAGAACAGTCCCTGAGAGTTCCTGCCTCTGGTCTCCAGCTGTTGCTCTTTTCTCGCGAGAAGTGCTCCTCCCATCCTCTCCCGTCGTCAACCCCCTCCCATGGGCAGGTTCCATATTGGGTAAAATCTCGGCTCGCGGAGAGTCCCGGGAGCTGTTCCCGCGAGAGTACGGCAAGAGGCTCCTGTTCGCTGGCTCTGGAACGGCGACCACTGGAACCTCAGCGGGCGCTGCAGCTGGAGTCGTAGTTCCTCGGCGCAGCCCGAAGTCGGCCTGGTCGGGGAGAGGGTGCAGGGAGAGCGTGGTGGGCGCAGCCTTGAGCCCCGTAGCGTGCCCTTGCCCTTAGCCGGGCTCGCCCCCGTCGCTGAGGCGCGCCCAGCAGCTGCGGCTGACAGGGGCCGCGCGCGCGGGAGTCGGCGGGGTCGCGTCTGCCGCACCTGCGCCGACTGCCAGCTGCGGGTCCCCGCCGGGCCGGGCGGGCGACGAGGGCCGGGGAGCGGGTGCGGGCGCAGGCGGGGCCCCTCAGGGCCACCTCCTAGCCCCGCGGCCGCGGCTGGAAGATGTCTCAGGAGAGGCCCACGTTCTACCGGCAGGAGCTGAACAAGACAATCTGGGAGGTGCCCGAGCGTTACCAGAATCTGTCCCCGGTGGGCTCCGGTGCCTATGGCTCCGTGTGGTGAGTGTCACCGGGCTTGGGTCTGCGGTGGGCTGAGTGGCCCTTAATACCCTAGAGCCAGGCCTGCCCCCACAGCTCAGCGATGCACCAAGCGGCAGGAATTTTCCTTGGGGGAGGGCATCGCTGCCCCTTCGACCCATGTCCTGCACTCCTTGCACCCCTCACTCTGCACCCAGAGGTAGGGTGGTCAGCTGTGTGCAGGATGCAGGTCCACGGTGGCCTGTGATGCCGGGGCTCGGCCCTGGCTCGCACTCTGCGCGAGCTCTTCTTGGGGGGTTGCTGCTCCGGGGGCTGGCACGGAGGCGGGGGTGTCTCTTCGCGGGTCTCCCTGCCAGCATCGAGCAGAAGGATCCTCTCCGGAGGTGCGCCCACTTTGGGCGCCGAAGCCTGCCCTCAAAGCGGACAAGCCCGGGGAGCTGCAGGGAGAAGCAGAAGGGCAAAGCTCGACCAGGAGACTGCGGTTGTCCGGACAAAACTGACGACGAAGGGCGTCTGTCCGGGCTTTTTTGCAAACCTCTTTCGAAATCTCATTTTGAGAAGCATTCGTTTTGAATTCGCACTTGCATTAGCAGAGACCCATAGAACCTAAAATACCGACTTTATCTCGGCCAGCATAGTGCCAGCTTGAGTGGTGTGTTTCCGATTCGGTTGAAAGCGTATTTCCTTTTCGCAGAGTGGGGGTGGGTGGTAGTGCTTGCAAGAACACTGCAGCTTGAGAAACTGGCGGCCTCACTGATTAGTCACATACCACTGCTCATTTAAGTATTGTTTGGCAAAACAATTTTCTCATTTGGAGCGAGTGAGATTCAGATCCGTTGGACGCGCTCAAGATCAAAAAGTTATTAACCATGCTGTGAGGTATTGTAAATATTTTTTAATTGCAATACATCTTGTGAATATTGCGTTTTTAAAGTCCCTTAAAGAGTTTGCAGGGAACCGACATTTGTAGACTGAGGTATGCGGTGGTTTTCGTAAAGATGTGGAGTATATAGCAAAGGAAGGAAGAGACCCTTCTCACCTTTAACTCTCACTGTGTGTTTTAAATTGATACCAAAAAATTTCTGGATCTGAAATATTTCACTATTATAGGTATTACACAGTATATTTTAGATTTACTGTAGCTTGAGAGCTGCTGATTTGAAACTAATTCATGTATTCATGTGCATGCATCGTTTGAAAAGGGCTCTATAAAATTATTTTTTGTTTTGGAACAAATTCCAGACTTTTGGATGTGTTAATCTTTATAATTCCTGTGTTTCTGAAAGTCACATCATGAATTTCCTGTTTGGTAGAATCTTCTGGGTAATTGAGATTGTGCAATTGTGTCAAGCAACAGATCATATTGCATTTTCTAGTTCAGGCTGCGTGAGTTAATGTTGCTGATGGCCCCATGCTTGACATCTTTTCCCCATTTTCATAATATGGCAGTTTACATTTTAAGGGAATTTGCAACATTTTATTATATATATGCATATATGTGCGTGTGATTGATTTGCAAATTTTCAAAGATTTATTTGGATCATTGTTCCTTTAATAGCTTACTCTTTGACCTCTATTTTTCATTCTTCAGTTGACATTAATTTTTGTAGTACCAAGTTTTTGTTTCCAATGATGTTTAAACTTTAATGAAATGATACAGCAGAATAGCTCAACTATGGGGAGTTTAGTGAACTTGAAAAGAACTGCTTGCAAGGTTTTCCTACTGTTAGTATGGATAACTCTGCACTGGAATTGAAGATTCAGATTAACATTGAAGTGTCATAAAAATGACCTTTACATTTCTTTAGTACTATACTTTTCTGGCTTACAGAAGCCAGCAGTATCTGACACTTGGAAGTAATTTTGCTAAACAGATTTTTAAAAGTAGGTAATATGTTCACATTGTATAAAATTCAAAAGGCTCAAGGATATTTAATGAAAGGTATCCTTTCCTTTCTTGTTCTCCAACCTTGCTATTCCTTTCCTCAGAGACAACCATTGTTAAGTTTTGTATGTGTCTTTACAGGATGGCAGAGTTTGTTCCCCCGCCTTTTTTTAGTAGTAGTTTTGCTAAGGGATTTAAAGTGTAACCTTTGGTATATTGGTGGAGAAAAGTACATCTGATATTATGTGACAATTGACTGTAAACAAATGTAACTGATTTTGGATTGAAAATATCAGAATTTAGATCTACAAGTAAGTGGTATCTCATTCAGAATTATTTGAAGTTGTTCTTTCAATTAGCAGTTTTTTGGGTGTTGCAGAAAACTTTTATTATTTATTTTTTAAATTTCTCTTAGTATCCATTCTGGAGCCCGTGTTATTTTTCACTACCATCATCCTTTGAGAACAGATTTGATTTTAGGGAATAACACAATCAAACTGAATTCAAATAATTTAGAGACTTTGTACTCAAGTCTGGTGAAAAAGATTAGGCATTCAGGTTGGTCATACTGTTTTAGGTCAAATAGGAGTTGTAACTCTAAAGTAATGACCGAATTTCTTGTGTGACTTGTAGAACTGGATCTGAAGTCTATTCAAAAAAAGAATCTCTGAAAGTATTTTGAGGAATACAACCTCACTGAAATAGGTGTCAGTTTTCTAATTTGATTGTTCCAAAGTGTGATATACTTTGATGTATGACTTAAAAATTTTTTATATTAAGCCTATTTTCGTTATTTTAATTTGTGCTAAGTATATGGTAAAAAAACAAGTAGCAGCCTGTATGATAACCAACTGTGAATCCAAGATCAAGGAATCAGACTAGAAATTGAGAATTGATAAGGTTTTATAAATATGCTTTTCCTTTGTAAGGGCTAAAGGGAACTAAATAAGTCTTGCAGTTTCAAGGAACTTTGTACATTGTCTGTGAGGGGAAATGAAGCAAAATTGTTTAAGAATACTTTGTTGCAAAGCATTGATTTTTTTTTGTTGTTTGGGGACAGAAGGGGGGACTCTTTGTGGTGAGTTTAAGGAAATATAAACAGGAACTTAAATGCCTTTCCTCTGGGTATGGTTTTTCCAGACCCTTGCTGTTGATTAGGGGAGGTGGGGCCCTGGTAGCCATAAAAGAGGTGAGAGTTGAGAATTACTCTTAAGTCATAGTCATTTGTTTACTCAACAATATTGAGTACCGACTATGGACTAGATAACGGGCTAGGTTTCATGAGCTAGAGCGCTGAGCAAGACAGAGTGAGATAATCCATTCCCTTGTTGAGCTTATAGCCTAATGCGAATAATAACTATATTTTATGGATTGCTTACTGTGTTCTAGGCATTTTGCTGTGTAGTTTATATTTATCATCCGTATATAAAGCTTATACAAGATTTTTAGTAAAAGGATGGCAAAATTTACTAAGAAATCAAATCCAGCTTCCTAAAAGCTTTGTGGAATAAGACTGTATATACATAAATATAAATAAACAAAGGTAAGTTTTAGTGTTAATAGCCATTCACTGCTTTAAATCTTTTCTTTTTTTTTCTTTTAGGATGAGCCAGGGCACAGATAAATGAAAATACATCATTGTTGACTATGCAAAGATGACTTTCTTGACTCCTGATCAGTAAGAGGGCTTGCCCTTTATTTTTCCAGTGGCAATGATAGACCCGTACTGATCTTTCTTCCCATTTGCTTTTCTTTGCAATCAAAAGCAAGGTGATTGGCTGCATGTCACCAGTACCAACAAATAAATATTTAAAGATAATGGCAAATATTTATATTATATATGAAGACTTTTAAAAAAGAATTCAGTCAAATTTGTTATAAAGTTATATTTTATTTATCAAATCCCATTTTTTTACTGATGCGTTCCTACTGGCTCACATTTAAAAATAAGGGTATTCTGAACCTCCGACTTTTCAGTTCTGCCAGTTTAATTTCTTGATACTGAAGAGTACTCTGTTTTTTATTTCTCTCTAACTCAGCTTTAGAGATGATCTGTGTGTTGACTTTGCCTTTCATGGGCAACAGTACAGATGGCGCTGAGCCCCTGAAGCTTTGGATTCAAAGGTAGAAGAATTCACTGGGCTAGATCACTCTCATTTTAGTATAAATTGGCATTTTTATGGCGTTTTACACTATGAAGTATTTTCATTGGAAGCATCATCATTCTTCACTGGTTCTCTGTTATTAACCCAGTTATGTAGATGAAGAACTGTACTCATTCACTGAAGGAATGGCTTACTTGTCAGTGGTGCTTTGGATTTGGTTCTGGGGTTTCAATACTTTAGAAGGCTTTACATATAGGCTGCTGAGTTTGTGTGATGGTACCTTCTTTTGTGCTGTTTGTACTTACCTTTTTGTGAAGAAAGGGGTTGCTGGGTCACTTGCAGTAGAGCTGTGACTGTACAGAACCAATCCCACCAGTGTCATTGCCTAGCTAATCTGAGGGGTAGTGACTTGACTTGTTAAAGGTTAAAGTCACACCTCTTCCTCAGAATTGATAGACCAAAAAATGAACTCATTGCCCAGATCAACTTTTTCCCCCAAGTAATTATTAGGCAGTGCAAATAATTTAATTCCTGAATTTATGAATCCTGTTGGTTTGAAATTCTTCAGTGTGCATTTTGTAAAGTTGGGACTATCTGTACATGTTTGTGTTATGTAAGTATAGGATATTAATAGAAAAAACTGCCTCTCCAGGCCTTTGAAAATACATTAGATTTTGGCTCTTTACTGTGAAATTTGGTATTGATTTGTTCCTATCCAAGAGGTATCATTACTGTAATACTCAATAAAAACTTCATTGTAAAGTGGGTTTCCCTGACTTAGGGAACCTAGGGATTTTATCTCACAGTCACCATGTACTTGGAAGTCATGCACGTATGTCTTCAGGACAACAACAACAACAACAAACTCTTTAAACTTGAAATGTTTTTGTGTAAATAAAGCTTTCAGTATAGGAAGTTTGACTTTGCACAGGGTTTCCGTAAATTAAGTGCATGTGTGTTAAAGATTTATAAAATGAACCAGTTTTCCAGCATTTCAGCCTGTTAAGAATTTATTCCAGGAAAGAGGAAAATGGTCTGTAAATTCTGCACTTTTAACAAATAGGTCCTGGATTCTGACATCTTGGCTCCTAGGCTGAAGGTCAGGGGAGAAAGAGTACAGAAAAGAGAGCAGTCTAGGATGGCCCTCAAGTTCTGGTTTTGGACAAACGGCTATCTGAACTTTGGAGTATTGTAGGATTGTGGAAGCAAAGGGAGAGAAAGATGGGTTCATGCTAATGTCCTTGAGGACAGGACTGTGTGTTATACTGATACTTGGAGCACCTACTATGTATGAGTCATTCTTCAGGTGTTGGAGACGGAGTATGAACAGACAAAAATTTCTGCCCGTAAGAAACTATATTCTAAGGGTGATGAAAGTAGAAATAGATAATAAATAAAATTTATAGTATGTCAGGTGGTTGGTGCTATGGGGAAAATGAAGCAAGGAAAGGAGAGGGAATACTGGGATGGCTGTGTTGCGCTTTTAAGCAGGGTAGTCACGGTAGGCCTCAATGATGAAGTGACAGCTGAACAAAGACCTGCAGGAGGTGATGTAGAACACGGGTTGGACTTGGGTGGGGAGGGAAGAACATTCCAGGCTGAGGGATCAGGAGGTGCAAAGGCCTCTTTCTCCAGAATAGCTAGGAAACCAGTCTGGCTAGCACTGACTGATCCAGGGGCCAAAAGTAGTAGAAGAGGGTGGAGGGGCTGCAGATGTGCAGGGATCATGAAGGGTCTTGCTTGCCTTTATAAGAACTGTGCCTTTTACTCTGCACAGAGGGGAGGCCGTGGACAGTTATGACCAGAGGAAAGACATGATCTAATTTATGTTTTAACAGATCACTCTGCTCTGGGGTCTCTGTTTTTTCATTTCTATTCCCTACCATTAGAGGTGCTACTTGTAGTTTAGGGTAGAATGGGGGAGTCTAATGAATTGGTGCACAACCCCAACCCATGTGCACAACTCTCATTCCAGAGTGCCAGAGCCGGAACTTCTGTTGGGCCCTAGAAATTCAGGGTATTCCAGTCCAGCTCTTTAAATAACATGGGCTTACTTCACTTTTTCAGGTTTCTGTTGCCAAAAGGAAGGGAGCAAAGAGATTAGCTCTAGACTTCTGCTGACAAAAGAAGATTAGCCTGCTGGCAGGTTGACTGTTTTCTAACTTCTTTGGGCTTCTAGGTTTTTTCTTACGATTGGGTCATATTTTAAAAGACATTTTACCTTCAACATTTAAGATCTCATTTATTTTCTGTTTTACATTCCTCTGCCTTCCCCCATTATAGTAATTTTAATAGAGGTCTGATTATTGTTACCTGTTACTAATGTTTTGGCTGTGAGGCCCCCAGGACTTCTCTGTTAACTTGAATAAGTCTTACAGTTGAACAATTCTACACATACATGACCCTATAAAAACCCATAGGGTTTATTGTCTTCCCTGCCTTTATAGATACACAGGCTTCTCTCCTCGTTCATGGAACCTCTCCCCCTTTTACTGCTCTATCATCTAGTTGGGGAAAATAAGTGTTTCTAAACACAGATTCCCATGGCAACATAACAAAAAGGTAATAGAACAAATGTTTATTTTGTCTAGCTGCTGTCTGAGTAACTTTAGACCCTGAACACGTTGGCTCCTGTTACTTTGAATGATGTTGTTACAGATTTCCTTGTTTCCCTCAAAACCTCTAGGGCTTGGTGGTATTGTCACTGTGCCTGTGACATGAAGGAAGGTATGAGAGTATGTGTGTCTTACTGTCAGTCTACCCACAAGTATGCATTGGTTGCTTTTCCAAGCTTATGGTCCCAAATGGAGGCATCACAACACAACCATGCCGGAAAAAAAAAAAAAAAAAAGGCAAAAAGCACACCAGTTGTCCCCTTTGTTTTCTTAAATTCATTAATTCAGTATTGTCTGTGTTAAGCATTGTACTAGATGTTATGTTTATAAAAATAAAAAAAAAAAAGAGAAAAAGCAGGAAGGGTGACTGCTTTCGAAAATATCAGTCTAGAAGGGACATGTTACGTTGTTTCCTCAGAGATGGCTTTGGAAGTAGCTTTTCTTCTCTGCATTCTTTCACTTAAGTTGACATTTCAAATCTACCTTTATGTTTCTAATGCTTCCTTTGAAATTTTCTTTTAGATTCTTTTGTCTCTCTTGACTCTAGTGACATACTGGTCACTTTTTATATCTAGGGCAACTCTGTGCAAGGATATGTGTTAGAAATCTGTGTCAGAGAAGCCTTTCCTTCTGATGATTCAGATCTAGAAAGTGATGACATCAGCATGTGCCCACAACAGGTCAGAACTTCTTTTGATCTGCCCAGGGCTCATGGAGGCTATGTGTTAGGGGAAGCAGGGGACTGTGAGGGTAAGGGTCCTTTAGATCCTTCACCCAGCCCTATACTTCCACTGGGGGTGGTGTCTCTGCTGTGACAGCCTTCTTCACCTACAAATTAAGTGCCCTTAATCATGACCTTAGTCTGTCCTGTGACATTCAGCTTGAAGTGTCTGGTTTACGCAAGTGTATATTGAATTCTTTCTTGTATTTCCTCATCCTTGTAGTAGATAAAACTTTATTTCCAGAAATAATTGCTTTATTCTTAATATCCCCAAGAGATATTTCTTTTTTTTCCCTCTTCTGTCAAATCCATCTAGGGCTTTAGCTAGCTTTGAGCCTTCTTGAACTTAGGCTTTTGCATAATAAGTTTCTATTTATGTTTTCTTCTCCAGGATACCAAATCCTGGGAAAATCTTAGTTATTTTCCTCAGCTCCCTAATTTTCATATTAAACTGAAGTGAAATATTGATGTTGGCATCTTATGTTGATAAACTTCTAGTAATTTTCTCATTTGACATTATAAGTTTCTCTTCCTTCGCTTAGTGTCCTAGGTGCCTTATGCTTTGAATGACCTGCTTTGAAATTAGCAATCTCAATAAGTTAAATGATATCAATGCTAAAGGGAGCAAAAGGGGGAAAATAGCAAGTTAAGAAAACAGTAAGTATTATGAACATCTATCAAGCTGTGTTTACATTTCCAAATATAACGTAGGGTTACTCAGCTTACTGACATTTTGGGTGGGATAATTTTTTTGTTGTGGGGGGCTGGCTATCTTGTGCATTGTAGGATATTTAGCAGCATCCTTGTACCCTGCTTGCTAGATGCCAGTAGCAATCCCGAGTTGTGACAACCAGAAATGTCTCTAGACATTGCCATATGTCCCCTGGGGACAAAATCACCCTTGTTGAGAACTACTTATATAATCCTATATATTTGGGTTGATTGGCCCTGAGGAAAAACTAGATAGGATAACTTGAACCTTCCACTAGCAGAAGGATAGAAAAACTATACTTTCTGTGCATATTCTTTTTCTTCTTCTTTTTTTTTTAAGATTTTATTTATTTTAAAGAGAGCACACAGCACGGGTGGGAGGGGCAGAGGGAGAGAGAGAGTCTCAAGCAGACTCCACGCTGAACACGGAGCCTGATGCAGGGCTCGATCCCAGGACCCTGAAATCATTGCCTGAGCCGAAACCAAGAATCAGACGCTTAACCAACTGTGCCACCTAGGCGCCCTGTGTGCAAATTCTTTTTTAGTTCATCATATGATACAGTCTCAACATGGCTTCGTTTGTACATTGTGTGTCCAAATTTGTACTTCTAAACCTTATCTCAAGAATATCTAACCCTTTGGTTTTCAAGTCTATTGAGATGTAATGTTTCATGCTTTTCCTTGATTATTTTTCTTAACATTGTTTGAGGATGATCTCATGTAGCACCAACTATCCTAGAAATAGACTGATGTTACAAACTTGTATGATTCAGCTTTAGAGATGTGGAGGTGTGATATTTGAAGAAAGCTTTCTTTAGCACTGATGAATGACAGTGGTCATGAAAATTACAATCAGGGAACGAGCCAATTGCCTGAAGATTTCTGTAACTTTCTGTAATTCTATTAAGGCAACATGATTTTGAAAGTTTGAAATGTGTGTGTATATGTATTTGCTTATGTGTTAGATTTACTGTAGTGAAGAAAATCTGTTGGTTATCCATCAGTGTTAAATGCACATCAGTGTTAAAAGAAATAGACATAAGGGGCACTTGGGTGGCTCATTTGGTTAAGTGTCCAGCTCTTGATCTCAGCTCAGGTCTTGATCTCAGTGTTGTGAGTTCAAGCCCTATACTGGGATCCATGCTGAGCATGGAGCCTACTAAAACAAACAAAGAAATAGACATAAAATGTAAGTGAACTGTATATATAAAAAGGTATTGATGTATAGAGAAGTGGGGGCATTGTGGGCTATAGTAGTTAGACTGGTTTCATGGAAGAAAAGGATTTGAAGGTTATTTTGAAAGGTGGGTAGTATTTGGAGAAGAGGAAAGGGAACATTTTTTTAGGGAACAGGAGAAAACACAACTAAGAGAATTAGTTATGAGATGGACTGGCCTGACAGCAAGAATATCTCAGGTAGCTTGAACTCAATTGCGGTTCTCTTTCTGATTGTGCTTCAGAATCAGTGTGGAGTTTTTAAAATACAGATGCTTGGATTCTACCCCCAGAAATGAAGAAGTAGGTCTGGAGTAGGGCTAAGGCATTGCATTTTTCTAGGCCATGGAAAGCTGTTAAAGTTTCTTGAGTTGTGAAGTATTGAGGAAAGGTGTTTTAAAACTCCCGACTGGAGTGCAAATGGATTAGAGGAAGCAAATGTATTGCTTTTAAAAGTCTTCAGTGATTTGTTTATGTGAGCGTCTGTTTATTCTGACTCTCCAATGAGATTTCTCTGTTCCTTGAGGTCAAGAACTATCTGCTTTGGTATGTATTTATTAATCTTGAATTATGTTCCAGGCACTGGGCTAGATTCTGAGGATACACAGATCACTTATAGCTTCTGCTTTCCCTCAGAGTTTGGATTTGGAAACAAATAATAAAGGGGTTTGTTTTTTTTTAGTTCAATATCTAAATTATTGGCTACATTATGTTGCTGATTGTAGTCTTAGAGCCTATCTAATAATTGCTGAATAATGTACATTTTAACTTGTAGAAACTATATGTTAGTTATCCATAGCATTGATAACAAATGATCAAGGATTTGGTCCCTCAATTATATTTTAACTTCCCTATTTTACTGTTATTTCAGAGGTTTACTCAGCCTCAAATTTGAGAGTAAGAGATCTAAAAATATATATTGAGAATCTATGATGTGATAAACCCCATGCTGGAAGCTGGTCATGAAACTGTTTTATAATAGCATGTTATTTCAACTTAGAACTTTTAAAACTACCTGCCTTTTATAGTTCATAAAGTACTGTCACATAATTATCTTATTTGAGCCTCAAAACAGCATTGTGGGATAAGCAGAGCTGATTACACCCCCATTTTATTTATTTGGAAACAGGCTTATAGAAGCTTTGCCCCAGATCACCTGCTAGGAGGTGCCAGAACCAAAACTAGAACTCAAATCTTTTGACTACTAGTTATTTTTCTCTGTATCAGACTGCATGTGTTTATGCTTACTAGAATTTTTTGAGATTAGGTCATCAAAATACTGCAGAGACCATTCACTAGGAAGCAAAAGTAGCTTTGTTAAATGAAATTCCAGTGATTTTTCTAGAGGAGTAAAAAGATTCTTAAGTAGTATTCCCAAAAGTAAGTGAGATATCTTGAAAATTCCAGTATTTTGTTTAAAAAAACGAAACAAAACCATATTGCTAAGTGTAATGATTTAAAAATATGACCATAAGTTATTTGATACTTCTCCTTTAAAGAGGTGGAGCTAATAATCCTCACCTTCAGTGAAGGTGGTACTGACTCACTTCTCTAATATATGGAATGTGGTAGTAATGATGGAGTGTGATTCTGAGGGTAGGTCATGAAAGATATGTGGCCCCATCTTGCTTTTTCTCTCAATGTTTCTCTGAAATCAGTTGCTCTAAAGCAGTTTTTCAACCTAAGCACTATTGACATTTTGGACCAGATAATTCTTCGTTGTGAAGGATGTTTAGCAGTAACCCTGGCCTCTACCCACTAGATGCCAGTACCCCCCCCCCCCAACACACACTCCAGGTGTAACAGCCAAAAATGACTCAGACATTGTGAGATACCCCCTGGGGGGTGGAGCTGCCCTCTGTTGAGGGACAGCCAACAGCTCTGTTGAGAAGACACCGAAGCAGCCTTACAGAGAAGCCCACATTACGAAGAACTGGGGCCTGCCAAAGCCACGTGAGGCAGCCGTCCTGGAACTGGATCTTCCAGCCTCGGCCAGGCCTTCAGATGACTGTAGCGAAGGCCAGTATCTGGACTGCACTCTCCTGAGAGACTGTGAGCCAGAACCACTCAACTATCCTGCTCCCCAGTTCCTGACTCACAGAAACTGATATAATAAATCTTGTTGAAGTCACCAAACGTGGGGGTAATTTATTACTTAGTAATACACTAAGTGTTACTGTAAAATATATGTGTATGTCATATAAGATGGAGAGTGACAGACTGAGCAAACCAAAGATTGTGAAGACACACTAATGCCTGTTATATGCATCTGTAGTCATCAGCACCACGCTCTAGCCAACTGAGCTAACAGGCCACTTGATGCATCTGTAGTCATGTTTGTAGCATGTTTACAGGGTGCTTTTCTGGATATGAAGCCTATAAATACTATTACTGTAAAAGGCTTTTAATTGGAGCAGCAGGCAGAGTTGATTGATGGTAATCATAAATAGTTACAGTGTAATATAGGATTAGTTTATTTCATATTTGCTTGAAAGGAGTTAAAAACTAGTTAGTGATAACTTCAAAAACATTTGTCACTGAAATTTTCAAACAAAAGTAGAGAAGATAAAACATGGTAACAACATTCTAATGAGGCTTGGGAAAATTAATTCCACATGTAATAAAATAATCCACATGTAATATTTTTGTAATCAATATGAGATAACTATTGCTCTTGATGCAGATGTATCAACTGCATTTGCAATCAAAGAAATATGTTAACTGACACCACTGGGGCTTTTAAAGCTTCAGTGAAGAAATACCTTAAAATCATTCTTTTTTTTTTTAAGATTTTATTTATTTATTTGACAGAGAGAGACATAGCGAGAGCAGGAATACAAGCAGGGGGAGTGGGAGAGGGAGAAGCAGGCTTCCCGCTGAGCAGGGAGCCGGATGTGGGACTTGATCCCAGGACCCTGGGATGATGACCTGAGCCGAAGGCAGACGCTTAACGACTGAGCCACCCAGGCGCCCTCATTCTTTTTTTCAAATGGAGCTTTACAGCGAATGAAGATTAATTGAATTTCACATTTTAATCACAAATTGGTTTGGATTTTTAGATTGCATGCCTAAGTGAATTTCTGCATTGTTTGAGTTTTAGTTTTCATCAGGCTAATAAAAATTAAAAAAATTGTGAAAAACATTTTTGCTCCAGTAGCTTAGAAGTTTTGCAGCAGGAATTAGACCAATCAGGGATGGCAGGTATCTAGCATATGTGTTGCTATGCTCTGAGTTCCAGCCACATAGCTAGTGTCCCTAATAAATCCTGTCACAAATACACTTTCCTATCTGAATGAGATTTTCATGAAAATACCCAATTTGCATAAAAGTTATTGAACTATTAAGTTGTGTAAGGCAAAGTATGTGGTCAATTAAATGACTCTTCGATTCAGTCTACTAATCTATTGATAGAGTGTTTAATATGTCACTTGTGTTTTGAGCCTCTTTGAGAGGAATATTTAAAAACTCAAAAGTTGGGGATTGGTTGCATTGTACACACTTGTAACAGTTGTATTAATGACATCTGATGTTCTTCCCATTAAGTATGGAAGTGTTATTGTAAGAAACTAAATTCCACATATAAAAAATACTATATATAGTTGCACATAGTCAAATCATTTTGTGATTCTTTAAAAAAAGTGTTATTATATAAACATTAAAACAAGGTATTTGAGAGTTAGTGAAGATATTAACGAAAGCTAACAATGTTTCAAATGTGATGAGTTTTTAAAGTCAGTTTTAAGTCCCTTGCTGCTCTGAAGAATATTTTTTGTTTCCTAAATCAAAACTTGAGTTCTAGTTTTTGCATAAATTTACCTTATTTTCATAACATTATTTCCAAAATGGAGGGGTAGAGCATAAAAATAAAAAAACTAGTGATACTTGCACATTTGTCTGAATTTAGGAGGAAGAAAAAGTAGGTTTCTGTAGTAGAGGGAGATGTGTGCCAAAAAATGTCTAGTATGATATTTATTGAAATTTGTATCAGGTGTTATAGGTTAAGAGAAAGTTCCAAGTTAGTAGTATAAATTACTTATTTAGAAGGCACATTTTATTTTATTATTATTTATTTTATTTTTTTTAAGATTTTTATTTATTTAACAGAGAGAGAGAGAGAGAGCACAAGTAGGCAGAGCGGCAGACAGAGGGAGAGGGAGAAGCAGGCTCTCCGCCGAGCAGGAAGCCCGATGCGGGGCTCGATCCCAGGACCCTGGGATCATGACCTGAGCTGAAGGCAGCCGCTTAACTGACTGAGCCACTCAGGCGCCCCTAGAAGGCACATTTTAAAGGCTATTAGCAGTTAACCTGAATTCAGTTGGAAAAAAGCCTCAAATTGTATGATCTGGAGAAGAGATGTCATGTTTTTGCAATTATTTCCCTCACCTTAGATATTTTAATTAATTTGATGCATTCAAAAGAATTTGTTAATTCAGTGTAACTACAAATTTTAATATGTTTAAATTTTTCCATTAATTTCCAAAAATAAACAAAATTGTGTTTGTCGTTTTAACCATTATTGAGGGTTCATTTTTTCTCATTAACATCATTCCAGGGATTAGAGAAGTCATCTGTGACCACTGAAAGAAATTGTAAAACCACTTCTGATCCTCACAAATTACTCAGAGACTTGTCAGATGATTGCTCATTCTTCATTCTGTTGGGGAAAACCCAAATTGTTTTTTGAGGAAAAACCTCGTACTGTCATTTGTCCTCCCATGCTCTGTTAATGTGAGCACTTGTCCTGGGTAGGCAGCAACCTCGCCTTTCTTAAGAGGTGGTCTCTCTTACTCTACCCAGCGACTCACCTGGCTGTTAAAGCATATTGATCTGCCTCTGCCTTGCTGCATAGAAAATCTGCAGGCCAGGTGCCAGCCCTGGAGCAGAAACAGAGTCTCTGTTTCTCTGTACCTATCAAAAGCTCAACTGATGGAAGTCATCTTTGGAGGATTGTCTGAGGAACATGGAGCTTACCTTTTTTTCTCAACACACTTAAGATTTCCTCTTAGATTAAGCCCATCAGAGAACAGCAGCATGCCATGCTATTATGTACTCTCTTCCCCACCGTTGCTAATAATGAACTGTATTTTGGCTTTATGAAACAGTCTCCACTGATATAGATACTCTAAGAAGAGAACCATCTGAAACCCACTATTATATCTGTGTAAGAATGTTGATTAGGACATTTTTACCACATTATACAGTGTCTCCTTCATGAACATACACAGCAGGAACTCTTCTCTGGTTTTATTACAGGAATAATTATGCCTCTCTTCAGTTCTCCTGAGTACCTAGTTTGTTTTTATTATATGGTTCCTGTGACTCATGTCTTAACTGGTTGTGTTCTCTTGTTGTGTGATGGCTTTAGTGGGCTCAGAGCCCACTAAAAAACCCCACTCTAATGGGTATTTAGAAAGGACCTCATAATAATCATTTGTATGTTAACCTCACCCATACAGAATTTCTTATTTTCCTGTAATCACTGTTATTTCAAGTTATGTATGTATAGTTCCAGACTGCTTTAAACCTATTGTGGAATAAAGTGGGATAAATAAATTTAGAAGTTAAACAGAATTATACTAGGATATATTAAGAATCTAATAAGCCAGGTGCACCTGGGTGGCTCAATTGGTTAAGCATGTTCCTTCGGCTCAGGTCATGATCCCAGGGTCCTGGGATCGAGCCCTAGATTGGGCTCCCTGCTCAGTGGAGAGTCTGCTTCTCCCCCTACTCTGCCACTTCCCTTGCTTATACTCTCTCTGTCAAATAAATAAAATCTTTAAAAAAAATCCAATACACCAGTTTTTTGGGGGGGAGAGAGGAGGCAAGTTTGAATGGGTAACAAAACATTCAGTTTTATTGAATATTGTGTCCTAGGCACTGGATTCACATCAGTAGATGAGTGAGCATGACATCCTATATTACAATCACTGCTTTTAATGAATTTTATATTTTTCCTTTAATTTTTTCTTTACCATATCAGTGATTTTATAAAATGTGAGTTAATTTTATTAACTTTGGGAGATTTCATGTGAATTTATAATGGGAGGAAAACCTTATTAAACAATGTATCCTGAATTTTAGTTTGGGGAATCTTACCATTGTAAGGATAATTCCATTTTATGATGTTGTTCATGAAAACCAGGTTTTATTTGTAGCTATAATTTTTAAAATGTAATTAAGAGGCCCAACTGGTAATACTAGTAAGTGAATCATTGTAATAAAGGTAAAGTGAATAGCTGGTCCTGGGGTTGCCCTTATTCTGGACAGCTTGGCATTCTGGAAAAAGAATGCACATTGAAATTAGACCAATCTGGGTTTGAATCCCACTGCATGTGAGTTATATGCCCTTGGATGAGTTGTTAATGTTTTTGACCATTAGTTTCTTATTTTGGAAAGTCAATATAATTATCTCAAGGTTATTATGAGGATTAAATTAAACATTTACCAAAAGATGTATGACATAACCAGGTATCCAGTAAATTTGAATTTCTTCTCCTTTGATTTAATTGGTTTTATCAGGTGATTTAAAAAATTATTAGTAATTTTTGCTTTTGGTAATCACAGTGTTCGATTTAGGATGAAATTTTTCCTCTTTCTAAATACTGCTTTGATTGGGGATAGTAACAGGAGGCTAGGTCAGAGCAGTTAAATGCTTAAAGTAGTGGGTTGAGGATGGATAGTATATTCCTTGCTTCAGCAGCTTTGCTATAGGAATCACTAACTGATAAGCAGAAAGCAGTTTCTCTGAACAATTCCTGCTTACCCTCTTTTGTGAGTAAAATGTTTTAAAAAGTGAGAGTGTATGTCCTTTGAAGTAAAAATTATTTGTTCTAAGGAAATCATGCAATTATTGAAGAAGCAGTGTGAATTAAGATGTCCATTTTAATAGTATTTATTGTATTTGTGTGTGTGAATGAATGGAATGGCCATAATGCCCATCAATAAAGAGAATGGTTGAGTAGATTGTGGTGCAGATATTTAATGAAATTACTATAAATGTTTAGTAAAGTGGAAAATGCTTATGCCTTAGGGATAGAGGATACAAATTTATGTACTATGAGTATAGCTATGTGTAAGTATCATTTGAAGGAAATATGTTAATCGTGTCTTTATGAAAGAGAGTACCTATTTTTTTTTTAAGGTAACAATAATACAGATGACTTATGCTTCTAATTTTACTAATAACCTTATATTAAAAGATACAAGCTCATTAAAAAAATCAGGATAGAAAAATATAAGCAAAAATGTTAAAATTCTGAATATATTAGACATCTCTTCTCTGTGTATATTTATATATACATGTATGGGTATGCATTTTTTCCCCACAGGTAGGATCATTCTTTACTTCTTTTTTTTTTTTAATCAACATATAATGTATTATTTGTTTCAGGGGTACAGCTCTGTGATTCATTAGTCTTACACAATTCACAGTGCTCACCATAGTACATACCCTCCCCAATGTCCACCACCCAGCTACCCCATCCCTCCCACCCCCCTCTATCATTCTTTACTTCTGAAACTTGTTCTCTTTCCCATCAGTAATATAAAACGTGTACATATTAGTACTATATGGAGATCCTTGTTAATGGCTGCAGTATATATGGGAGAAAATACCATAAGCTAAATTCTCCCCTATTGGACATTAAGGTCGTTTCGGGTTTAGTTTCTATGAACAAGCTGCAATAAACACATATATTGTGAATCCAATTTATATATTTTTGTCTGTAAACTTTTAAACCCAATTATATATTTTGAACCCAACTTTTAAAAAGTAGTCAACTGTATATAGTTACACTATATTATTGGGCATTGTTTGCTTTCATGTATATTTTCATCATTCCAGTTAGATGGTAGGTTCTGTGACATCAGGTACAATGTTTAGTGTTTCTTTTGTATTCACAAAGCATCTCATCAAGGAGATATTTCAGTAAATATGCTCAGGAAGTGATATTTTGGTATTTGTAAGATACCACATCATTGCCTCCTCCCGTATTCTAGATTCACAGCGAGTAGTAGAACTCTAGGGATTGAAAAACTTCCCCTAAATAAAGTAATGCATATAGAGCAAAAGTTATTTCTTATGAAATACTTTTCATTAAAACTATCCCGAGTTCAGTGTAAAATTACAGGAAAAACTTTTTCCATGTGAAATGCAATTAACTGTAGTAAGAAGCTTTTTAAAAAAGCAGAGTTCATACAATTAGAATATATATATATATTTTTTAGATTTTTTATTTATTTATTTGACAGAGAGAGACATAGCGAGAGCAGGAACACAAGCAGGGGGAGAGGGAGAGGGAGAAGCAGGCTTCCCGCTGAGCAGGGAGCCGGATACGGGACTCGATCCCAGGACCCCGGGATCATGACCTGAGCCAAAGGCAGACGCCTAATGACTGAGCCACCCAGGCGCCCACAATTAGAATATATTTAAAATGGGCCGAACTTCTTGCAAAGTTGAACTTGATTATCCATTAAGAGTTCTATTCGAGATCCATTGAGGATCCATTCAGTGGTATCCATTAAGAGTTGATGCTTGAAAACACACCACTTGAATCTGAGTCTCAGCTCTGTGATTTCCTTTCTATACTGTGGGCACCATTACTTCTTTGTGCCTCCGTCTTCTCACCTATAAAATGGAAATCATAATAATGTCTTTTTATGAAGTTGTGATAAAGATGCTCATTCATGTAAAGATCTAAAAACAGTGCCTTGCAATAGTAAGCACTCAGTGATTATAGGTTTTTAACATTAATATGAGTTTCTTGTTGGATGCTATTGATTTTATTTTATTTTTTTAAAGATTTTATTTTTGAATAATCTCTTCACCCAATGTGGGACTTGAACTTATAACCCCGAGATCAAGAGCCACATGCTCCACGGACTGAGCCAGCTGGGCACCCCTGGATGCTATTGAATTTATAAAAATTGAGAGCCACATTATAAAGTTGAAGTTTTTTCTTTCATGTTTCAGATACCTACATCACAAAATATTCTTATACTTTTGTTAAGCATTTTTTGAGAATGTGCACGTGCCAGGCATTAATGCTACGTCCTGTGTAATATAGTGGTGAATAAAACAGAAGACACTAACTGCCCTCAAGGTGCTTATGATGAGTGGGAAAGGCAGACATTATTAATGTCCAATATTTAAGCTTTACTATGGGTCAGGCCCTTTTGCTAAAACTACTACAAAAGTTATCCTCTTTAATCTTAACAAGCATTCTCCTTATTAGGTATATACCTTATCCTCATTTTATGCATGAGGCTGAGAGAACTTAATTAACTTTGTCAAGATTATACCGCTGCTAAGTGGCAGAACTGAAATGAAACCAGAGAGTCTAATACCAAAGCCCCAGCCTTTATTTAACCACTCTGCTGGGTGGTAAATAAAACATATAGTAATAAATTGCGATTATTGGGGTAGGGTACTGATTAACCCTAGCCTGCCTTTCTCTAAATAGATACAGGAGTCAGAGATAAAAATATGTACTTTATTACTGTACAGCTGGCATGGAGAATGGCTTGGACAGGCAGCTCAAATGGGCTTCTTATTTTGTCCCCACTGCATTGAACTTGCACATTCAGTCATGGGCAGGTCAGCTAGAAACCTGATGACATTCCCTGTTCCAGGAGGTCCCAAAGGGCTTACCAGCAGAGGAGAGGGGAACATGCTCAGCCTGCAGGTGGACAGGCAAACTGAGGTGGAGAGTTGAGGATAGGTCACATGGCAGTGGTCATTTTCTGTCTCAGTAGAGCCATTGAGGGGTTAAGAGAAGAGTATACATTTACTTGGTACTTCCAAGAGGGAAGAAGTTACTCTTTTATGGGTTTGTAGGAACAGGAGTGGGAGAGGGGAGTACACCCCCTCTGTTTATGTAGGATAAGGAAGGAAACAAGGAGGGTGTTGTGACAGAATAACTGAGACCTGTTGATAATCTCGAGGAGGATGGCAATTTAAACCAGTGCTTGAAGGATAAGGATTCAGCTGTGGGGTGGAGTAGAGATGGGAGAGAAGGGCAGCTCAGGAACCAGAAACAACCCGTTGAAGAATTTAAGGAACTAAAAGGAGCCAGCATGTTCAAAACATAGTGGCTGAGGGAAAGGAAGGAGCAGTACAGGAGCAAGATGGAGTGGTCATTGGTGGTCATATCACTTGAGCCTATAGGCTATGATAGGAAATTTGCATTTTATTTTATATGCCAAGGAAATTCCTTGAAGGATTTGAAGCAGTGGGTGTTGCCATCTAATTTTATTTTTAAAAGATTGAATTGGATGCTTGTAGAGAGTATATAAGAAGGGAACAAAACAGGGGCAGGGAGACCAGTATAAGAAGGCAGGCTGGTGATGAGGATGTTGTGGACCAGTATGGTAGCAGTGAAAGGAAGAGAAGTTGAATTAGAGATGTATTTTGGAGATGGAAATGACAAGACTTGCTGATTTGGATGGGGGCCAGGAGGCTGGAGGAAATCAAGGATGATATTCAAATGTTTAGCTTGAGCAGTTGGCTGGAAAGTCCATTTATTGAGATAATAGGAGACAGAGAGAGGAATAGTTCTAGGTGTTTTGCATTTGCTAAGTTTTAAGGTGCTTATGTGGTTTTCATGTGGAGATGTTAGGTAGGCAGTCAGGCTCAGAGAAGAGATTTCAGTGAGAGACATAGATTTGCAAGTTTTCTATATAAGATGGCATTTAATTTAAAGTCTTGGATATAGATGAAATCATCTAGGAGAATGTGGGAGAGAGAAGAGGGCCCAGTGTCATGCCCTGAGGAACTAACAGAGTTCCAAGTAGAGGGACCACATGCAGTGGCGTCAGAGAGGGAGCTGCCATAGAGGTCACAGAAAACCAGTAGAATGTGCTGTTATGGACTCCAGAATGGAGAGTGTTTAGACAAAGGGGAAATGTTAACCATGTCAACTGGTAATCCAGGAAAGTGACCGTTGGATTTGGTAACAGGTCATTAATGACCTGAGAAGAGCAGTTTCAGTGTAGGATTGAGGAAAGAACGGGAGCTGAGGAAATGAGTCAAACCTTAAGATACATATGAATTACTTGGAGGTCTTGTTAAAATGTAGATTCTACTTTAAGGCCTGAGATTCTGCATTTCTAAAGAGCTCCCCCATAGTGCCAATGCTGCTGGTCTTGTGGAGGAGCAGAGGTATAGATTAGTGGTTCTCAGACTGAACCGTGTGTTAGAATTATGGGGCGGGTTTGATAATACAAATTACTGTACCCACTTCGGTTTCCAATTTAGTAGATCTGGGGTAGCACCTGAGAATTTGCATTTCTTATCAATCCCCAGGTGACACAAATACTGTTGGTCTAGGAACCACACTGTTGAGAACCACTGGAGAATTTTAGCTGTAGTGGAGAGCTTTCAAGGGAAATTTTTTGTTTGTTGAGGTTGGGCAATAACTTGAGCATATTTATGTTGATGAGAATGATCCAGAAGATAGGGAGAAACTTAGAAGGGAGAGAGAAAGGGAATGAAGGAGTGAAGTCCTTGAGGGGATAAGGGAGGTGGCTCCAGAGCATGTATTGAGGTCTCGGATTTTTGTAAGAAAGGGCATGTGTCCTTAGTTACAGCAAAAGAGGAAGCAGAGAAAATAGGTCCAAGTGCAGATGGGTTTGTAGATTTACCCATAGGCAGATGGAGCTTCCTTTTGCTGGTTTCTATTTTCTTGATGAAGGCAGGGGCAACTTTTAAGGAAGAGGGTGAATTGGAGGTTTGAGAAGAGAGACAGTGTCAAATGAGTAAGAAAATGCACTTCCTAGAAAAAACCGGCAGTTCTGAGAGCCTAATATTTGAGGTTAAGTTCAGAAATTAAGAATGAAACCAGTCTGTATGGTTGTACATTCTTTTTTCTTCAACCACAATTAGTTCTTGGATTCAGACAAGGAGAATTAAATAGTTGAGATCACCCAAAGTTAGACTTTATCCAGGTGAGTGTAGGAGACACGAGGCAAAGACAGAGACACAAGGGAGCATGTAGTCTAAGCCAGGCAAGAAGGGAAATGAAGATGGGAGAGGGCTTGAAGGATAGAATCAGCCAATGATGATGAGGTCAACAAATCGTTATAGTCAGGGTACAAGTATACTAGAAGTAAACTGAAAGGCATAGAAGGTTTGTGATGGAAAATGGGTGCTGGCATTCAAAATTGTGTAGGCGGGGCAGCTTTTGGTGTTGATAGAGGTCCAGGGCGTGACCCTGGAGGCTGGATGAGGTGGAGTTTCCTGGAGAGGTCAGGAAACTGAGAGGCCAGGATGTTGGATGTGTCCTCCACCTGGATATTGAAGTTGCCAAGAGTGATGACAGAAGCTGGGAGTGGGGAGAGACTTTGAGATAGGAACTAACTTTACAGTGAATAATGGAAAATTCCAGGTCAGTGGATTACAGCAGCAGAGAGGTAGTGATAGCTGTGAGCAGGGGCTTTTGTAATACAAATGGAGAATCATAGTCTGGAAGTAGGAATGGTTGGTGAGGAGGACATCTGCCCCACCTGCTGGCCACGAGGTACCTGAGATACGAGAGAGAATTCCCTCTTAAGGGCAGGGCTGTAAGAGAAGTAGTGTCTTCAAGGTAGAGCCTAGTTTCAATTAAAGAGTTGGAGGGAGGGCTCAGAAAGGGGGTTGAAGATTTATAGGAGTTAATACCAAATTGGGAGTTGAAGAGCGAGGACGTAGTCTAAGGATTTGGAAGGGAAAGGAGGGGAACTTCTGGAACAAGTACGGAGTCACATGGGAAAGAGTTTGGTCATGATAGATGATCCGGAGGTCTTGGATGCCCATTAGAGCCTGAGATAAACAGGAGGATGAGGCATGATTGGATTAGCCCAGTCTCTAAAAATAATTAAAATACACATCAAGTTTCTTGCTATAGTTGTCCTACATGATTTAGCCTCTGCCTGTACCTCTGACCTCATTCTTTTCTCCTCTCCCCTTGCTCTGTGTGTTCCACCTACACAGGCCAGCTTTACGCCCTCCAGCATGCCATATTTTTTCTACCTCTGTTTCTTCTTTTCTCTGTTTGCACTTGCTCTTCTGAGAGACAGCATGGCAAAGTGGTTAATAGCATGAGCTGTGGATCCAGATTCCCTCCTCCTGCCACTTTCTAGCTTTGTGATCGTGGGCAAGTTCTTTAGCGTCTCTGTGCTTCCGTTTCCTCATTTCTGAGTGGGAGAATGATAATAGCATTTCCTTCGTAGTGGTGGTGTGGATTAAAACTTATTTTAATTTTAAAAATTAACGTTAAGGGCCTAGAACAGTTACTGGTATGCAGTAAAAACTAAATAAATGTTAATAATACTATTTTTTCCTTCTGTTTGAAGCTCTTTTTCTGTACACCTTGACATGGTTGCTGCTTTCTCATCATTCAGTTGTCTCAGTTTGAACCTACTTGCTCAGACATCCTAGCTAAAGTAGCATATCCCCCCCCCCCCCCGGCTTTCTATCATTTGTCCCATTATTCTGTTTTATTTAGTCATAGCATTCATCACTATTTGAAATTATTGTATTACTCTGCTCATCCCCTCTCCCTTATCCCTTGGGGACAGGGATTTATTGACTTGTCCTTCTTATATCTTAGCTTCTAAAGAGTGGCAGATACTTTGTAGGCACTCAAGAAATTTTTGTGCCAACTCATTGTCCTGAAATCATTCCAAGCCCTCCACTCTGATCAGGCAGCATTTGGTGGCAAGGTGACAGTGAGGCCTAAGGCAGAGAAGACAGAATCCAGCTCTTTGTATATCAGTCTGTTGGCTCATGTAGATCAAGTGGCTGCTTGTTTTTGTGCTAATTGGGACACAGCTACATCCATTTTTAAATTTATTGTCTGGCTACCCTCTGGCTATAACCACAGAGTCGAGTAGTTGTGACAAAGACCCTAAGCCTCACAAAGCCAAAAATATTTATTCTCTGGCCCTTCATGGAAAAAATTTTCTGATCCCTGATTTAGATGCATAGAAAAAAAAAAAAAATGAGGAGACACCAAAACTAAAATGTTACTTTGGATAGTGGGATTATAGGTCGTTACGGTTTTTATCTTTATACTTTGTATTTTGTTATAAACCCATTTAATTTGGAAATGAAATAGCTTTCCTTGTAAATACTAATTTTGAAGTATTTAGAGCACATTCAATGATGAATTCTTTCTTTCTTTCTTTTTTTTTTAAGTGCTGCTTTTGACACAAAAACCGGGTTACGTGTGGCAGTGAAGAAGCTCTCCAGACCATTTCAGTCCATTATTCATGCCAAAAGGACCTACAGAGAACTGCGGTTACTTAAACATATGAAACATGAAAATGTAAGTTATTCATGCAAGAAGAATAAATTTTGGATTTTGCATTCTTTACTGGATTTACTTAAGGCTGCAGTGTCCGAATATGGGAGTCCAAGGCTATTTTGTGTTATTACGGGTTCTTTCAGTGGGGAAGTTTGAGGCGGCATGCCTTAGATTCACTGAATGCCTTATTGAGGTGACTATTAATTTATAGGTAATTTAGTATTATAATTTTCCTTTTTAATCTTCTTTAAGACAGCTTTTCCAGATTCAGGTATTTTAATGAATGTGACAAAGACGTTGTTTAGGTTAAATATAACTTTTTCTTTTCTGTCAATTTGGAAATTTGAGGGCAGTGCCGTCCTGCGAAGGAGTGCTTCAAAATCCTAATACAGTAAATAAAAGGATGCAGTTGGACTCTTAGCTGGAAGTGAAAAAACAATTAACGGAGGGCACTCATTTTCCTAAATTTCAAAATCACGTTAAGAAGAATTTATGTGATTGCCATAGGAAAGGAACTGTAAAATTTGTATCATTGTGGAAACGATGGCTGTAGAGATTTTAGAGTCATTTGACCCTATCAGTCGTTACTGTGTAGAAAAAAATTCAGAATGTCTAAATTTATTATTTGGCTATTCAGGCCTTTTCTGTTTTAATAATTGAACTTAAAAAAATTTTCTTAGATTGCAGATCAGTGATACTTTATTAATATACACTTGTTTCACAGGGTACAAATTTCTTCTAAATTGGGAGCATTGAGACTTGAATTTGGAATTGGATAACCCATGCTGTTGTAATCACAGCTATAGCTTATTTATTTTCATGGTTTATTTTAATTGCATACTATTGAGCAAATTCTGTTTTCCCCAGGAAATAGAGGTTTCTATTCCTAGGTATAATTTTTATGATCATCCATGTACAAAGCTGAGTTTTTAAAAAGTTCAGTGCAGTGCTACAGCCTTCCTAATCAGTGACCTGTTTGCACGAAGTTGAGATACATGGAAAAAGCTACCAGGAGAAGCTTTATTCCAAGGTCTGCATACAATCAAGGTGTCCTGGCAGCTTAACTGATGCATTTACATTTGGTTTTTAGCACAGTTGAGTGTGTATGCTGTTTTTCATTACACATTCATAAATGTGACAAAGACATTATCGTAGCTCTTTAAATAAATAAAACTTTGAAAATGGAATGCAAGCGAAACACTTATAGAACCCCAAAGCACTTTCAGGAGGCCCTGGGATCCCACTGATGTTGCCAGTGCTCATTTCTGAACATCTGGTTTAGATTACCAGCACTGTACTTTATTGTTCTGCTTCTCTTCATAGACCATTTAAGCCAATGTTTAGGGCAACGATTATTTTGGGTTATCTGACTCCATGCCTTAGCTTTTCCAGTAATCATAAGAAACAAGCTTATTTAGTTTATTTTGCTTTAATTTTCTGTGATAAGATGCTTCAAAATGTGTCTTATATGGTATTAGGCTGGTTACATTTGGGTCACTCTGTATCTGTAGAAATGAAGAGGCCACAGTGATGGGATATGATTGTTCTAATTTAGGAAGGGCTACAAGAATCTTTAAAAAAAAAGAAAAGGGGCTGATGGGATGCCTGGGTGGCACAGTTAAGTGTCTGACTTTTGGTTTTGGCTCAGGTGGTTATCTTGGGGTCCTGGGATTGAGCCCTGTGTTGGGCTCCATGCTCAGCAGGGAGTCTGCTTGGGACTGTCTCTCCCCCTCTCTCTGACCCTCCTCATTGCGTTCTCTCTCTCTCTTTCTAAAATGAATGGATAAATCTTTTTTAAAAAAAGGGGAGCTGATAGTATTAGGAACACAGGATTTTAATTTACATAAGTTGTTTCATATGCAGCTTGCTTAATAGCATTTGGCCTTTTCATGTTAACATGTTTAGGTTTTAGCAGTATTGATATGGAGGGTCATCTGTACTTAAATATTGATAATTTGGTTTTGAACAAAAGAAGGCATATGGCTGAATGTTTTATAGTTCTCTGTTCTGTTAGGGGCTAATAGACTTTGACTCAATATAGGAAAATTCCTGAATATCAGCCTATTCCACAAACACTTGTTAGGAGCTCAAATTGTAAAAGTAGTTTTACCCAGGGAAGAGCCAAGACCTCCAAATAAGTTTAATCGAGGATTTTAAGAGGC